GGTGGATGGTCAGGTTTCAGCTCGGCCACTTACTCTATGACCCTCGGTTTCCCCATCTGTCAAATAGGGGCCAGAATAGCCATCCTGTCTTCCTCAGGGACTGAGAGAAGATTCCGGGTGGATTTTAAAGGAAGGGGCTGCTAGGCCCATCTGTGGAGCTCTCTTCACTCGGGAGGTATAAAAACCACCTCCTGAGGCCTGTGCCAGTGGCTGACAGGGGCCTTAAATGTGCTCTGAGACCGCATCCAAAATCATTTCAGGGTGAGAAGAGCTAGCTTCCCTACAAGAACCTACATAGGAAATCTTGGTTGGAATGCCCAGCGACAATGAAAACAGACAGCGTGGGGCGCCTGGGTGGCGCAGTCGGTGAAGCGTCCGACTTCAGCCAGGTCACGATCTCGCGGTCCGTGAGTTCGAGCCCCGCATCGGGCTCTGGGCTGATGGCTCGGAGCCTGGAGCCTGTTTCCGATTCTGTGTCTCCCCCTCTCTCTGCCCCTCCCCCGTTCATGCTCTGTCTCTCTCTGTCCCAAAAATAAATAAACGTTGAAAAAATAAAAATAAAAAAATAAAAGTAGTTATAATTCTAAAAGCATAATTAGGGGCGCCTGGGTGGCGCAGTCGGTTAAGCGTCCGACTTCAGCCAGGTCACGATCTCGCGGTCCGGGAGTCCGAGCCCCGCGTCGGGCTCTGGGCTGATGGCTCAGAGCCTGGAGCCTGTTTCCGATTCTGTGTCTCCCTCTCTCTCTGCCCCTCCCCCCGTTCATGCTCTGTCTCTCTCTGTCCCAAAAATAAATAAAAAACGTTGAAAAAAAAAATTAAAAAAAAAAAAGAAAACAGACGGCGAATGTCAAAACCCTCCCCCAAGCCACCTTTCCTTTACATCCCTTTCTATTGGATTTTCAGTAAGGTTGCCGGCCCTGGATGGTTCCCGAGCACCCGTGCCCTGGCCTGACGAGGTTGGCGGGGAGCAGAGGGCAGGGGGCCGACCTGGGAAAAGGAGGATGCTGAGGCACGTGGGAGGAAGGGCTGGGAAATCACGCGGTGCCCTCCCTGAACAGGGACCGCTGGCGAGCGCCATGCATTAGGGCTTAGATGTCTGGGAACCACATGCATCACCTTTGGAACGAACGGGCAGGGATAGAAGCTGGGCATTTAGATAGTGACACCGAGCTGGAAATGAACTCGGGACACACCGGGTGGCCGCCTCAGGCAACTGGAAGCCGCGGGCTCCAGAAAGGCCCCTTCTGTTTGTTGCCACCCGGCCTCGGGGCTCTGCTTAAGCAGCTCCTCTTTGGGGAGGCCCTGCCTGGCCCTTGCACGGGGTGAGTCCTTGTGAAATATGCTCATGAACTCAGGCAGCCGACCTTTGTTCCCAAAACATCGCGTGCAAAGTAATTATTGCATCGTTATTGTATTTACTGAAAAAAAAAAAAATGCCGGAGAGTGTGAGCTAGAAAGGGGGGGGGGATTTGTGTGTTTCTCCTTTGATCTAACCCCACAGTGCTCACCCTTGTTTCCATTATTGTACCCCACTAAGGAGTCTTCTTAGACAACAGTTTCTAATTGCTCCAGTCCCATGAAATTTTAATAGGACAGATAGCACTCTATATGTGTGTGTGTGCGCTTTATATATTAAAAAAATAAATTTCGCCCCCTCAAGGGGTGACCTGACCCCGACTGGGAATTCCTGATCGAACCCCAACACCTGCACAGTACCTGCCACGCTGTAGGCTCTCAGTAAATATTCCTCGAGTAAACGAAGGCTGGGACAGTACCTTTTTGTCCACTCTCTCATCGCTCCGTGTGGAGGCTGGCATGTGTTAACTCGGTTTTCCATTTTAGCATCCAACTCCCCCCAAACTATAAACGACTTTTAGCTGCAGTGGGAGACAGTACAGAATCACTGAATGGCATTACAAAGGAGGGAAAACCAAAACCCGCGGGGCCTCGGAAGGGAAGGGGGTGCCATTTCTGAGGCTTGCTAGAAATGGAGACTCTTTTACCAGTGAGCAGGACTGAAAAGCAGATTTTACACATCCTGTCTTTTTCGGGATGGTCGCGGTGATTCCCTCCCTCTAAAGACACAAGGCACACAGTGGAGAAAGGGGATGGCCGAGCTACACTTTGTAAAGAATGTGGAGAGAACCCTTCTGCACCAAGGAGATCCTAGACACCCAACCTCTAAGCTCGGGCTGGAGGGCTGGGAGCAGGCTCAGGCTTTGCTCTTAGCTGGGGTACCATCTGCCACACTCTGTTATGCCCAGACACGGCCTGAAGTTCCGGGGAGCTTCACATCTCAGAGGAGCACAATGTTCCTACAACATCTAGGGACCATCCTGGTATCTCCTCTGTCACCTTACATCCCAAGGTGGTCCTCGGACAAAAATTGCGCTACATATATATATATATATATATATATATATATGGATGAATAAATGACCAGTCTCCCACTCGTGCCCACTTGGCAGGCTGGCAAAGCTGGGGGAGCCCTCAGGACACTCTATCCCGATAACGTCCTGCTCTGGGTAGTAACCACCTTCCAGCCTTAGAATAGGGGTGTTGGTTGAGAAGAGGGTTCCATCTTCCAAAAATGTCCCTTACCTAGGATAGCTTTGGTTTTTCTAATGCTAATTTTGTTGTCTTGGAATTATTGTGACCTTGTCTCAAAAGCGAATATGGTTCCTGTTTCTTTTTCAACCACAGTGTGGTTAGCTTTCAAGCTTCCTGAGAGCTCACCTCTATTTTCTGCAGAGTGGGAATGTGGT